ACACCCCAAGAGAAAATATAACAATTTTTTTGTATGGGCTAATGAAGATGGGGGTATGAAACAAGGCTTCTACCATACTAAAATGGTAAATATCAAAAAATTGAGAAAAAATTATTACATCCAATACCCAACAGAAACCATAAGTTAGTGCATATTTAATTTATATTTGTTAACAATGACATTAAACATCACCATTAAAAAGAACTCGTGAATACTCATAATATCACATCAAATATAATGCAATATTAACCTAAATTCACTATTTATTCAGAACTGTATATATACTATTACATCAAAATTAAAAGAACTAGAGAACAAATATTTAACAAATAATTAAAAAGACAACAAATTAAAGTAATTTCACTACTTAGTGAGCGATTCAAAGAAAATATGAATAAATATACAATTCCAAATTAGTGTTAAATTTTCGTTATCTAAGCATTCAATTTCTTTTTCACTACAAAGTGAGCATTGCAAGGTAAACGTCACCAAAATAATTAACACGCAGCACAAAACCTAAGATTCACGCTAGATTTTTTCTGTAAATTTTAATTTTTTTTTTTTTGTAAAAATTGGATTTTTACTACTCAAATAGCTATGTAACATTAAGATCCAAAAAAAGATGAGAAAATATTAAAGAGGAAAGGGGTCGTTTTTTGGGAATAAAACCGCAAAGGGATTGTTTTGAAAATTTGTCCCTCAACCATCCAATTCTCTCCACTCAAAATCTCAAACCCTCTCTCTCTCTCTCTCTCTCTCTCTCTTACCTCCTCAATCCATGGCCGCTCTCTCGCTCAACCCTCTCTCCTCTCTTTTAAATCACCCTCTCAACTCAAAACTCCGCCTCAATCTCTCTCTAACCCTCCGCTCTCTTAACACTCGCTTTCTCTCTCCTCCTCTTAAAAAACCCTCTCCTTCTCATTTACACGTCAAATTCTTCTCACCCCCCTCCTACTCTCACTCTCTGCTTACGAGGAGCAATCGAGGCCTCGCTCGCCGCTTCTCCTCCTCCACCGCCGCTGACGAAACGTTTCAGGAGTGAGTTTTTTTAATACCCATTGGGTGATTGTTGATTTTTCTTAGATTTGGAAATTTAAGGATCAGAGAGTAAAAATAAGAAAACGCAATCGGGCCGAAATCCTTTGTTTTGATTAAAACTTGGTCATGCTGTCATGTTAGGACTCTCGCATTGTTTAAAAAAAAGATTTTTTTTAATGATTATTTAACACTAATTCGTGAATTATATTTCTGATTCCTAAGTCTTTAGCATGTTTACTACAGGGAACAAATTCAAAATTGCGTCTTGATATGATTTTAATATACACACAGTGTTACACACAAGTACAAAATTACTGCATATCTCTTGTCAACGAAGTATTATGTAAATTGTAATCAGTTGGATAGTTTCTCATGACTGGCTTGATGCTATTGTTTATCTTGATGATGGTCTAAGACTGTGTCGTGGTCATACAAGAAAGTTGATAATATTGTTAAAAAGGAAAAGGTTAACTATCTCCAGTGTTTTTTATTTGAATCTGAAAATAACATCATGTGCGCAGTACATGTTATATCATAGTGGATGTTCCTGCTTAATTATATTATATCAATATGCTTTAGTAGTGTGGGCAGTTCGCTCAGTTCGAACCGAACTCTAATCAGAAACTCTGTTCTGTGCAGTCCGATATCACCTTTTGAAAGCACCAGTAAAGGCCGTATCTACCATGAAACATATGGATGTCAAATGAATGTTAATGACATGGAGATTGTTCTATCAATCATGAAGAAAGATGGATACATGGAAGTTGTGGAGACCCCAGAGAATGCAGAGATTATCTTTATCAACACATGTGCCATCCGGGACAATGCTGAGCAAAAAGTCTGGCAGAGACTTAACTACTTCTGGTTTTTAAAAAGAGAATGGAAGAGTAATGTTGCTGTTGGACGATCACAGTCTTCACGCCCTCCAAAGATAGTTGTTCTTGGATGCATGGCTGAGAGGTTGAAGGACAAGATACTTGATTCAGATAAGATGGTTGATGTAGTTTGTGGACCTGATGCATATAGAGACTTACCACGCTTGTTGGAAGAAGTTGACTATGGACAGAAGGGAATCAATACTCTTCTTTCCCTTGAAGAAACTTATGCGGATATCAACCCTGTGAGGATTTCAAAAAATTCAGTTACAGCATTTGTCTCAATAATGAGAGGGTGTAATAACATGTGCTCCTTTTGCATTGTTCCATTCACAAGAGGAAGAGAGAGATCTCGTCCAGTAGAATCAATTGTGAGAGAGGTTGGTGAACTATGGAAAGAGGGTGTGAAGGAAGTTATGCTTCTTGGTCAGAATGTGAACAGTTATAATGATGTTTCAGAGGTTACAGATGTTGAACTAGGGTCAAATTGGAGACTTAGTGAAGGATTTTCAAGCAGGTGCAAAGTGAAAAATATGGGGTTGCGTTTTTCTGATCTCTTGGATCGTCTATCGTTAGAATTTCCAGAGATGCGTTTCAGATATACATCCCCTCATCCAAAGGACTTCCCAGATGACTTGCTTTATCTGATGCGAGATAGGTACAATATATGCAAAAGCATTCATTTGCCAGCTCAAACAGGAAGTACAACTGTGCTTGAGAGAATGCGACGTGGTTACACACGGGGGGCTTACTTGGAACTTGTGCAAAAGATACGTTCTATCATTCCTGATGTGGGGATAAGCAGTGACTTTATATGTGGTAAGCTCTCATTTTTTTTTTCACTATCCAACCTGTGGAGTGTTTAACTGTGATTCTATAATGGCAGTGTTGTTGCCTGTTTTTCACTTCCTTCTGTTAGATGGTTATATAAGGAGTCAGTATAGATTAGTCTAACTTTCATCTGCTGTCTATTGCTTTCCTTCAGTATCATTTTATGTCACTTGTTTGCCATGACTTCTGAAGCCATATTGCTGCAAATAATTCTTTTTCCAGACGCTTGATGCACGGATTGGTAGTCCTCAAAACACTTGAATTTGTACTTGTAGATCTACTAGGGCATGCATATCGAAAAATTTTAGTAGATTATCCATTTGTTAGGGCGGTGAGTTTTTGTTATTAGTCATAAGACTCATAACCTATACGTGTAGGAAGGGCTTTTTTATTTGTCCTTACCTACCAAGCACATTGGTAGCGTATAGGCTACCCCAATGGGCCATACACAATTTATGCAGTTTGAAGGCGTCTAAGCCACTGAGTCACCGATCAGTTGGTGCCTCCCCTTTCACAATAAACAACTATTTATTGCCCTTCTGATATGCATTTGTTCCTGTGGGGGTGGGAGGTGTTATAAAACACATATACATAGAACTTATAGTTGCTTATAAAAATGATGGACAGGCCATTGAAATTGATAATCCAAACCACAATGATCAGTTGGTGCCTCCCCTTTCACAATAAACAACTATTTATCGCCCTTCTGATATGCATTTGTTCCTGTGGGGGTGGGAGGTGTTATAAAACACATATATAGAAGTTATAGTTGCTTATAAAAATGATGGACAGGCCATTGAAATTGATAATCCAAACCGCTCATTGTGGTCTAGACATCTTAAACCCTATGCAAATTAGAACTCAAGTTGATTGGAAATTTCTAGTGAATGGATTGATTGGATTTAAATAGAATGGCATTTAGCAATCCATAGACTAGTTATTTTGATCTAGTTGATCCAGAGGTCAATAGTATCAAATATAAATATCAATATTGTAGGTTATAAGATTTTTAGATCACAATATCCATTTCAGAATAGTTGCTTGGAGGCCTTATTCGTGCATTTTATAGGTGTACGTAACTTTGTAGGTCACATCCTGTATGTGTATCACACAACATATGAATAGATGAAGAGGCACGTAGGTAATGAATCTGATGAGCAACTCGTCAAGTACATTAGCCATAAGACTTTCAAGCATCATAGCTGACCTGATTCGATGAACAACTCGTCAAGTACATAAGCCATAAGCAAAAATCCATGTCTGCTTCCAATTATTGACGGGCTTTGTTTTACAAAATTTCTCAATTACAATCTATCTTTTTTTTTTCTTTGTAGTGGTCAGTTAGCAAGCGTGACCCATCTGATTTATTTGCTGCAGGTTTTTGTGGGGAGACCGAGGAGGAACATGCTGATACTCTAAGCCTTGTAAGGGATGTTGGTTATGATATGGCCTACATGTTTGCATACAGCATGAGAGAAAAAACTCATGCCCACAGAAATTACACTGATGATGTTCCTGAAAACATCAAGCAGAGGAGATTGACTGAGTTGATCGAAACTTTCCGAGAGACCACTGGACAATGTTATGATTCTCAAGTTGGAACTGTCCAGCTTGTTCTAGTGGAGGGACCTAATAGCCTGTTGGGCACACAGTTGAGGCTGACAGAGAGCGGCGGGTCCCAGAGGTTGGTGAATATGTGGAAGTTTGTATAGTGAAATCAACACGGGCGTCTTTGTTTGGAGAGGCAATTGCACGGACTTCCTTGAGTGCCTTCTATTCTGAACCTCGGTGTTAATGCTACAACGGGGGTGGTTTATCTTACTTTTTCAGAATGCTTTGAGACTATGAATTTTGAGTAATTTGTTGTTGAAGAGGAAAAGGTCTGTAGGATTTTGAGTAAAATTTGGAAGATTAATGAAGCAATCTATCTCGAGAGATGAATTTGTGTCATGTCTGCTGCAGAATTTATGGACGGCGAGCTTGAGGTGCATCATATCCCTGAGTCCCTCTTCTCGAATACTTTTGAGCATAATAATCATTGGCTAAAATGGCCTCTACAACAAGTGAGCCTACATCACTTTTTCACTCATGTCCTAGCTGTTAAATTTGTACGTTAAGCTTTAAATATTTTTCTGGATTAGTTTTTCGGTATTGTTTTCATACACAGGCGCACACACACATACATACGTATTACATGTAATAATTTGTTTTGCTAATAGTGTTTTTCTTTTATCAATATAAATTCTTCATTAGAAAAATAGATTTGTGGCTCAAAGCAATCTTGTGCTTAATCAGTAACTCTAGTAATCAGCTACCTTGAAGTTTTTTCCAGCAATTTTTGTAAACAATTTGCATTTTTAGTGTTGTAGGATTTCATTTTTGAAATCACAAACTGGAAAACTTAAAGGTCGTCTAACTTTATAAATCTGTGCAGCAGTTCATAAACAAGCCATTTTATTGGTGCAAGTCTTTTTGTGTGTGCGTACTTGTAATGTGTATTTCTGTAGGATTAATGTACACATACGCGTACGTAGACACACTTGATCATTGAGTAGGTCGGACTGATTTGTTTAAATATTAAGAATTGGAGAAAAATTATGTGATTAAAGGTGAGATTCCTTCTTTCTTAGGATACCTCCGTTTGAGGGTGTGACTTCTTTTTATTTTCCTGAGGGTTTTATTTTCCCAAGGATGCGATTCTCTTGGGGGTGTGATCAACTTTGAAGTTGTGACTCCTCATCTTTTCCTGAGGGTGGGATTCCCTTAAGGGTGTGCTTCCCTATTTTCTAACCTTATCTTTTAGATTTTTCTTTAAATTTATCTACTCTCCAAATAGGGTCCTCATTAATTAATCCCCTATTAATTGGTACCAGAACAATCTTTGGTCCATGCATGAATATAAAAAGTTAAAGAAAATATTTCGAGAAAAAAGAACATGGATGAGGCACATGTTGAAGCATTGATCGATACTTGGGGATTTTCATTTTGTTCCATTTATCTTTTTTCCCCTTACTAAATCTCCAGAAAAACCATAATCACCATTGCTGCTGGATCCTAATTCCCACTGAAACGATGCCCACTGTTACCTTAGTATAAGTTTATTTTCTTCTCTCTTTGTTGTTACAAGAAGCTAAAATCTTCATTTATGAGTTTAGAAGAAAAAGGTGTAAAAAACAGCCAATCCTGGTACAAATCGATTGCGTTTGATTGGTGTTCCTGAAACAAAAACAATTGTTTAGATGTACTTATGTCCCTGTATCCCCTCATTTGTCAGGTTTTAGTGAAGGGTTTGCCTTACCTATAATTTCTTTATTTGTATAATTCTTATAAATGATTTACCTCTTGAGTAGCACCTATAATATCTCTCGAATGTGGTTAGTTTATATGAACTCTTGCAACTTTTTGTGTGTATCAGTGTATGTGTGCATTTGTATGTGTAAGATAGTTTAGAGTTAAGCTCGTGCTACATCCTATTCTTAACAATAGTGAATAAATAAAAAATGGTTCTACTCATAATGGGTGATATGGATGACAATATATGTCAATGTTTCTCTTTAGGGTTTATATATTAACCCAAAGGTAGTCATAAAATCGTTGTAAAAGTTATCCGGCTTCTGCTAATCAGCTGCATAATTTTTTCTTCAGTGCTCTGTCATAAATCTTTACCAACAAACTGGCAATTGGGGTTCTAAAAGCTCTTGGAATTGATGTTCATTCAATCTGATTGTCATTATGTTTAATTTTATGGTAATAATTGTATTTAATGGTTTTGTTAAAGAGTATGGTTACAATCTCATCTTTGAGAATAGAGACAGAAGATAATCATAGTCTTTGTTGCACATGTCTTGATTGCTCTCTTATTCATTTTTCATTTGAAGCATTGCGTCCTAATCTCTCTTAGTTATGCATCCTATATTGTTATCTACCTTTTAGAAGGCGGAAGAAGATCATCTAGAATCTTGTATCAAGCAATGGTAGACAAGTCCTATTTAAGTGTGTTTAGATCCTTGGAGAAAGCTTATTTATATTATCAACTTATCAGTGCACATAACTTATTATTCATAACTAGAACTGTAGAACATACTTCCATCCACAAATATAAATGTCACAGAGAAAACGGAAGTCACTTCACTTGGATAACATATACATCTGTTAGAATATATTTTAATCCGTGTACATAACTACATGCTATACATTAAAAACTGAAGTTCTCGAGTTGTCGGTATCTTTATAGGTTATTAATCTTAGTTGGAGGTTGAGATAGGCAACAAGTTAATACGCAGTCTCTTCTTCGTCTTGACTGTTGGAAAGGTGCTGATGGTGTCTTCCTCTGCTATTCATCTAACAGTCGGAAGATAATGAGAAGTTACTGCATATGTAATACATTGAAAATATTTGAAGTCATTGTGGTTTAGTATAAACTTATCAAGTCAATATGTTGCTGAAAATGCTAATTTGATAGGAGAAATGTATTGAAATAAGAAGCTGGTTCGACACCTTTTAAATAAGGATTTCTAGAGCATCTGTAGTCTTTGAAATCCATTCGGACTAATCCTTGAAACTTCATACAATTCAATTTTGGGACTATCATGATATATAGTATGGTCTTTAAAGGAATCTTATATAATAATATGACTATTCTAATTATTCCATAATAGTAATATTTTGAAGTATTATAGAATCGTAAAGCGTTAAATGATATAATGTTTGTTAAATGGGAAAGTACCATCTGCGTACCAAAGTGATAGCGTCTTTTGGACATTCTGGTAAAGCATTCATATATTTTCCACCTCCCAGGAATGAGAAAAGGACGCATAACATCGAATTCCTAATCCATGAAATTCATTAATTCCTTGGCAGTGTGTGCGCACGTGCATGTGCGTGTGCATGTGCCTGTGCGCGCTCGTGCATGTGCCTGTGCGCGCTCGTGCATGTGTGTGTGCGCGTGCGCATGTGCATGTGCGCGTGTGCATGTGCATGTGCATGTGTGTAGAAATACTGTGTATGAGATGACAACTCATTTTGCTTGTTGAGCTATCAAGAGGTAGACTAGTGGCGAGGTCCATCCAGCTGGTCACACGAGCAGGTGGACCTTGCAATTCTTATCTCTTAATAACTCATTCCGCTACATGAGATAATTGCTCATATTCAGTGTTCCTATATATGCATGTAGTGCTTGTGCCCACACACACATACACATACATACATTAATATACGAGTTGTTAATTCTGAAAGAATTTCGTGTCAAATTGTTTCCATTCTAATTCAACATTAGGCCATCCAAATAGAAGATGCACTCTAATACGGTTGATCTACATCGACATATAAAATGTGTTCTAAAAATTCTAAGGTGATTTAAGTTTTTCCTATGCATCAAGTAGCACAAAATGGATGGCTAAAGTAGCATATTTAGCAGATCTACAGTTTTGGGCATTTAAATGTTCAGTCTAACCATTTTTGCTGTGAGCTGAATGCTTAAAGAACTCTCGTAGACAAATTTGATCAAGTAGTTTGATGTTGGTTTGTTGTTCCCTACAACTTATACCTGTAATTTGTAACAAAGTATGACTACTTCCAACCTTGTGAGCTCCGCACCTGGGCAAAGCCTTCGTCTACCAACAAAAGGAGTAAAATTACTCGGTTTGATCTTTTCTTTTTTCTTTTTATTAGTTAAGGAACAGCACCCACCTCCAAAGCCCGCCCCCCCCACCCACCACCAAAAGAAAGAAAAGGAAAAAAAAAAACCCTCTCCCCCTAAATGTATGCTTATGCATAAGCACCGTACTTGCCTGCCATCTCCAAGGATCAAACTTACATGGGCTTTCATAAGTTTCATGGTCAAAATGCACGGAGTTGAAAGATGCAAGGATACACCATTCTTTAGGAATTTGGTGCCCTATACAACAAGAAGAAGAAAGTTTCGGTTAATTACTGAAACAAACATCAATATTGATTCCCATGCATGTGGAGGTCAATTAGCCCACTTAAGTTTCTTTATTCACCACCGTCTAATGGGTTTGATTAGTTAAGCAACTCCAGATAATTAGTACGAAGTAAGTGTGATTTGTTGTTGAATAGATTAGTATCTCATATTACATCTGACCTTATCCATGAACATGCTTAAGGCTTACTATAGTGCATACCCTTGATGTCCACATCCCTTAGAGCTTTTCTCCAAACCGCATTATTGATGTTGCCCACGTAAGAGCTTCATTAATCACCTGAACTTTGAAATGCAAACTTTTAGGGGAAAAAAATTACATTGAACTGATCGCATAATTCCAGGAACTTACGTTATGTGTAAAGGATAAAGACGTGCAGTCAAGACAAGTATAAGGTTCACCCGACAACTCTTTTTCCCTTTTCAGCTGCATGTTCTCATCCTGCACCGAGCAATATAAGTTCAGAACCTGCAATGTATCTAAGCGCATTATTACCCGTCCAATTTGGATTGATTGTGAATAATGTATTATTATGAAGGGATAGAAGATGTATGGCTAAGTACTTCAATGCAGAAGGGTTTTTACTGAGAAATTTCGCAGCAGGGGTCATCAACATAGGTACTGAATCATTGCCTGGTATCATCATCTCTAGTATATTATAACATTTGGAGTCAATTGTAAATCATTGTGATGCAAGAGCATTGTTCATTTCTTTTAACAAGACATCAGCCACATCCATCTGTGCAAACTGTTTATTATTGCTTATCTTATCCTCCAGTATCTTTTTTATGAGCTTCAGTATTCTCTCCTTGGCCTGGAAAGAAAGTGCAGGTAACTCATTCATTATGCTTCTTTAGTGGTTCTAACATCATGGTTCCATTATACTTATAAATGTTATTTACAGCCTACAAGTTAAGAATCAGGGCAGGAGTCATGAAGATCTCTTTGCTTTTTGTACTTGAGAATCAAGAATTAGTTTATCTTTAATGATTTATGCAGTCTAGTTCCCGGAAGATTAATAGGTAAACATATAAAGCCCTTGATGAATCCTCCAAAGTCCCTTCAGTAACTGCATCTCTTCATCCGGACAGGTGCTTAATAAAGTTTTCACCAGCACTTGGTATGTTATATATCAAATGACTGAATGTAATGACGTAAGTCGTGGCTGATGTTAATTAGAGGGTGTATTATGACAAAGGAAATAACACTAGTATGATTTAAAAGCTAGCATCCATTTGTGCATAATCAGTTTTTTTTTAATTAAGCTGATCTTTTTTAGTCCTTTACGTCTAATCTTTTTTTTTGGCTATAATGCTATATCATATGGTATCAGCTTTTGTAGTTTCATACTTCCAGAGAGAACAAAAATTAGACTTCTTTTTATTGATAACCTTAATTATTTGTTGTGTCCATATTAAAATTTCTTACTGATTTCATCAAATGGACTATTCCTGATCAACTAACGGTGTGTGATTAAACCTTTACAATGCTAGAAACAGGATGAAATTTCACGACAGATGTTTGATTAGCTAGCATCTCTATCACAGTGATTATGATGATGGTTATTGCTCATAAAGAGTGGAAGAGACACATAACTTGTGTGTTCTTCGACATGCACAATAGTTTAAAATATCTATTCATTTCATACTCGTAACTGTTCTTTAATCCTGAGTAGATTTAAAGTGGCTGTCACTTTGTTTTTTGTACTCAGTTATCTCATAGAACCAGTAGACTAGTAGTTCTTTTTCATTTTTTATATTTTTTATTTAATGTTCTTAGTTGATACTTGTTTTACGTTGCAGTCATTGGGATTGGTTTCATAATGATCTATATTTCTTGCACATTACATGCATGATGAGTGTTGGCAAATGTATTTGCTTCAGACCAACCTCCATTTCACACTTAAGGATTTTAATAGACTTTTTCTTTCTTTTTGACATCTTCAACTTGGTCATACTAGTGTTGATAGGATCATCAAAGTGTTTGGCCGTGAAACTTCTCTTATGATGTTGCATGGTTGTCAAGAAAGTTAACCGGGTTTGCTATCCATGTCATCGAATTATAGTATGGGGTCAATCAGAGTTCCAGTTGTCTTGAATTCCTGAAAACTTGCCTTTAAGTTTTACTAAGTAGCTTAGCCATACAGAAAACTGGAACTTCAATGTCAGATTATATTTCTAATTTACTTTTTTCTCTTTGGCTTTTAGAGCGACTGTTGTCTAACATAAGTTGATATTTAGATACCTATGCATCTGGTTGTATGGGTAGATGTAATCAGAGTTTCTAGGAGCTATATTTTTTCGTATAAATTCTCCGAAGTTTGAGTTCTCACTTCTCAGTTCTACATGTATTGCTACAAATACAATGTATCCATGGTTATGATTCTACATTGTAAATGTTTTATTTGACAATAATTCTGTATATGAAATCTCGTCCAGATATATTGTCCATCCATAGTTGAGGACAAAGTGTGAATATCTCCCATATTTCTGTTGTGTTGATTCTTTTATTTCTTGCCTTATCCTGAACTATTTTCTATTATTTAGAAATTTGTCTCGCTTTCAATATGGTTATATCTACATATCCTTGCAGAATTTATTGTTTGAAGCATCCTTCTCCTTCCTACTGTGTGATTGTGTCATAATCATTGCATTAATCTAACGACAACATTTTCATAAGACATTATCCTTCCTTCCTTACATGCATGTGCACTACTGTCGGTGCATGCGCGCGTGTTTTCCTTTATGCACATTTATGCTTGTGTTTGTGTGTTATAGTTTATGTAACTTACCTATCTCTTTGGTTTCATCTTGGACAAATACATGCTTTCAATCCTTCTAGCTTTCAAGAGATAGTTCCACTGCCCTCTCAATGATTTTTAAGATTTGTTCCTTTAGTACACTTGATTTTACAAAGCCACCAACAAAGCCATGTAATCTCTTATGTCGATCTCCATTCATTTGGAGTATCGAATACTCTCCCAGTAGCTTGACAATAGACTTCGGATGGAAAAAATAAAATTCCTGCTATCGCCTTATTTACTTCAGAATCCATTGAGATTATAATTGGCAAAATGACCAAATTGGTATATTTTGTTTACCCTTAGTAACAGGTTGGCATATATTTTTTTGGGTACCACATGGGTATATTTTTAAAACTCCGGCGATAAATAGGTCTTAAGTTTGACCGGATCCAATTTTTTGGCCATTTTTCTCACGTGACAGCTCACGTGACTCCAACGTGGTCGCCAACGTGGCTGGAGTCAGCGGGAGTTTTGTAGAAAACCCCAAAAAAGCCAAACTTTCAAATAAAAACCTAAACCCAAATCTAGCCAACAAAACCTCCAGTCTCGTGCTCCCTCTTCCAAGACGAGCGTCATCGCTTCTACACAACTGGAAACCTCTTGTTTGAAGAGAAATTGTTAGATCTCTCAGGAGATGGAACCCTAGATTGGGGGAAAATCAAGACAAATGAAGTTCATCAGATCAAGAACTCTTACAAGAGAAGCAACAATGATGACGAGCTGATTCCAATCATCAAGCGCTTGGTCTGCTCTTTGGAAAGCAAGAATTTCGATGTATCAAGCTCGAATTGTTACGAATCGAGCTCGACAAAGGCACCGCTTTTAGGGAGGAGCGGATCGGTAAAGATTGACGTGGCGGCGGCGCTGAGAAAAGCTTGAACTTGAGTTTCTCGAGCAGAAATCGGCAGATTGGGAGGAAATTGTGGTGGAGGCATGTGAAAATTGTGGTGATTGTTGATGTTTTCTTGTGTCTGGGTTTGTTTGGAGTTTTTGAAATGTAGATGAATAATCAGCAAATAACTGAAAAGTAATGACGAACGTAAGACCTGATAATTTATATTATCAAGTCGGCAGGAAAGGTATGGCTTGTCGGTCCGTTATCTAATACCATTAGAGGAGGTAAGCCGGACAGAACGTCGTTTGGTGATTGCTTGAATGAGCTAGTGGGGAGCGGAGAGAAATCTGATGAGAGGAGGAAGAAGGTGAAGGAGATTGCAGAGATGGCCATGAACGCAATAAAAGAAGGCTCTTCTTACAATGATTTGAGCTCTTTGATATAAGAGCTGAAGGAAATTAAAATGGGTAGAGTTCACAATCGCGAGGGCTAGGATTTGAGAACAGATTGTGAGCTTAATCGATAAATCAACTTGTCGTTAGGTCTGCGATGTGTAGAAGTCAACAATGCGATGTGTAGAAGTCAACAATCTTTCTTTGGTGAACTCATTCTTGTAGGAGTCCGTCGTCGGCTTGGGGACCTTCCCCTCTGAGGAGGGACTCCTTCTCTGTGGGGAATAGCGGGTCCTAACAGGCGATTTTAACCAATCAGATAAACCCCGTCAAGCATGTCCCTTGCGTTCTACTGCTGGAGCCATCTGATATAAGCAATCGAGGAGCTCACCGGCGATAAGCTGGTGGAAGAGGAAGCGGGCGGCGGGCTTGGGGCGCCGAGGTCGAGGAGCTCGCCGCCCGAGGCGAAGTCCATGGCGATGGCGAGGTGGGTCGGGGTCAAGAAGGGTCGGCAGAAGCAAATGAAAGTTTTGGCTTTTTTCTGGAGTTTTCTACAAAACTCCCGCTAACTTCAGTCACGCTGGCGGTCACGTTGGAGTCACGTGAGCCGTCACGTGAGAAAAATAGCCGGAAAATTGGATCCGGCCAAACTTAAGGCCTATTTGTCGCCAGAGTTCAGAAAATATACCAATGTGGTACTGGAAAAAAATTATATGTCAACCTGTCACAAAGGGTAAACAAAATATACCAATTTGATCATTTTGCCGATTATAATTGGTCTTCCAAATAAGTGAGACTTGAATACTTCTCCATACCTGAAAATGAAATTGATTCATCCTATATGTCAATATAGTATATAGCTTCAGGCATTCGTATACACAAAGTATTCTAGCATCAAACTGTCATTGAACACAATTTATTTTTCACAAAGCATGAAGCTGACTTGTATCTATGATCTGGAGGATACTGTGTCTGAGTGGTTGAAGATTTAAGTTTTTAAGATCTTGTCATCACTGAAGGATCATTTTTTTTGTTCTTTTTCTCAGGGAATTTTGGCCCTTGGGTTGGTAAATAGAGATATTTCTACTTCTCTAAAGAAAATGGAAAAGTGGAGCATGAGAGATTGTGGCAGTTGCAATAAAAATTAGAACCTGTAATGCTCATTTTCTGTAATGAATCGTCTTGCCTATGTTAGGAACCTATATGGCTGTATGATCATGAAGTGTGGAAAATTTATCCTTGTAAATGTATCCTGATGCTTGTGAGAGACAACTGGCCATGTTATTTACTGTAAAACTAACCGATTTTGATGCGGCTTTTATTTATCAGGTAATTCTTTGAGTGTACATACTTGTATTTTGTTCATTGTAACAGTAAAAACTCTCTTTGTCAATCCTCAGAGGTAGACAACAGTGAAAACGTGCATATATAACGTGCCTCCTATTTTCGATGTTCTTCTATTTCTTATATGCTTATGCATGCATCTCTTGTATACTCAACAATCATGAGTCTGTTGCTGATGCCGCATACTAAACTTGGTATAAAGTTAACAACACATGGATCAAATCTAGAGGGCAAAATGAGGAAATAAAGAGAATTAGTGCCACCTCAATGATTGGTGGCCAAGTGCAGCTTCTCTTTGATCTCATTTGGTGAAAGAGGGAAAAGGGTACATGACGTCTCAGAATTAGACACTATTAAAGAATTTTCTGCTGTCTCAGAAGAGTATTAATCTTGCAAAGATAATAAAACAAGAAACAACTCCTACGGTTTTAGTTTTACGGTGCTAACTCAAGAAGAGGTCTGAAATTGAAAGACAGAAAGAAGGCAGCAACTCTGCTCCGGCACTCTCTTTCAGGCTACCAAAATTTACCCCGACATAAAGAACAACATAGCTTCATTATTACTGATTGTCAAAGAGGTCATTCAAATCTTTGTAACGACGATGCGAGTGCTGCACAGTGCGCATTATTTGCATACTCAAGTAAAATGAAAAGGGAAAAAAAATGTTGCTGCAATCCACGCAGCCAACAAACCTAAGTAAAATGAACAAAGAATTTTTTTTAAAGAACATACTCTTCCAAGGTAAATAAACAATTCATTCTGTTCTATTTCAGTCTTTTCTTTGCTCTTCCCATCTCACACTTCTTTCTTCATGAATATGCTGAAGTACCTCAGACTAACACCAAAACCCCAACATATCATTGGTGGTCAGCTTGATCTCTTATCTCTCCTAACCACTTCCTTTCAGAGCCTCCACGTCCCTCTTCCTTACTATTACATGAGCATTTATTGTACAACACTGTGTGCTTTTCTACAAGAAATGATTCTAACACCATCATCTTTGACCCTCCTTTGATGCTAGACAATCCCAACAATTTGTTAATGATTGACGACCAAATTATGCAAGCATTTGCTTCCCATTTTACCTTCTCGCTAATTTATAAATATCGAACCAATTAGATGTCTCTGCTATTCTTTCTGGTTATCCTTAACAATCTGAGGACATTCTCATACACAACAAAGGTTATAGAAGCAGCTGGAATATTCTTCAATAAATTTGAAGTGATTCCCCTATAGAACCCGCGTAAGCCCTCAAACCTGCAAAAGAATTACAAAAAATGTTCATTTTATATTACAAAAGCAACGATATAACAGTACAAGTGTCGACAATGTGTTCCAACAAACGTCAGAAATCTAACAATTAAAAGAAATTAAACATGTTAATACTCTTTCTTTCAACCTAATCTAATAAATTTTTAGTCAACAACAAAACTTCTAAATATATCATATGTCAATACCTTGCGGTTTCCTTTATAACATGCCAACTATCTGAATATTTTGGGATACCATCAGTACTAGGTCTTTGCTGCAGAAAAGCAAAAACTGTCAGATCTGACTCAGTAAGCAAGTAGGTTAAAAACATAATTTATTGGATATTAGAAGTCAGTTTGTTACTTGCACAGCCAGCCTCAAAACTTTTGGATATATGCTTTGTTATTGTTTGTTACTTAATACACAAAGGAATATGTTTTTACTCTGGGTCATTATTGACTATAACCAATAATTTACTTCTAAATAAGAAAATTCACGGAAAAAGGATAGAGCCAGAAAAATTACCTGTAAGCGGGCTCGAATTACCTGAAATAAGGATTAAAATAGTTAAAAATTTTATGAAACTAAAGTAAAACTTTCATATGAGAAAATAATTTTCCATTAAGAACCTTCTTGATTCAACAGCTCTAAACTGAGACGAATAAAGTGGGAAACAGAGTTAGATTTGAGCATAGGAAAAACCTGATAAGGATATGTGAGTAAAATGGCTGCAAACTTGGAGGAAGCACCAAGTGCTGCATAATCAAAAGAATTCTGGTAGAGGAAAAGAAAGAAATGGACACTAATTAGTTATACCAATATAAGCTAAGTAACTACACTTTCCTATTAATGCATTAAAAATATGAGAATGAATAAAAAATAAATAGTTAAACCATTTCAGATAGTTTAACTAATTAAGAGGCCGCTATTGATATCAGTTAGAAAGCTGGTCTTTAAATTTGTTTTTCCATTGAATAATCTCAATTAGAATTTAAGTTCTACAGCTGCCTCAGTTTGATGATAATTATTAGTTATGTTGATTTGCTTTATTGTTTTATGAATGAAATTCCATGTATAAAATAATGACAAAGGGCATGAGCTTCTAGACAAAATCTTCCATAATTGAAGAGTCCCTACGTATTCTGGAAATTTTAGAACCACCAATCTACAGTTTATTAGAAATAACCTCCTAAGAAGAAGATTGCCTGACCGGACTGTGAAATATCATTATTCGTCCTGCATTAAGTATGGAATACTATCTAAAGAAACATTTTAATTTGCTCTTGGACTTTATTTCATATATAAGTAAACGACTAAGATCTTATTCTATCACATGTTGGTACTCCCCAGCAGTTTGTTAACTGACTTAAAATGGCAAGGTAGCATACAAAGATTCTTCTCAATATCAATTTGATGTCAATGAATGAATAAATTAAGTCTATGCAGAAAGCATCGATTGAAAGTGAGATACACCTAGTACGAAATCACCTATACTTGCATACAAACATGAGTGTCACACACATGCACACACGCATACACGCATAGAAAAGTGAATAATTATTTAGAATGGTCATATTTCGATAGAAAGTGAGATGCATCTACTATCTAGCACAAAATCAAATATACTTGCATACAAACATGTGTGTCACACACATGCACACGCACATACACACAAACAAAGTGAATAATTATTTAGAATGGTCATATTTCCTTCATTATGATTGCAAATAGGACCTCTTAAGTCAATAATCATCATCATCATTCTCTGAGTCCTTTCCCAATGAAAATTAAGTAAGGAGAAATACAGATATCAATATGAAAAGATCAGCTGAGGAGAAAGACAAATACACGTACCAAGAAAAAATAACCATATCTATGAGAGCAAAAATCTTAAAGCCTTTATCAGTCAATGTACTACTACTAGCAAATGCCGGCAATAACGGACAGAAGAACATGGAAGGTTGAGAGTTCTGAGTTGTGTCAAACTCTACTGTCTAAGAAATCCGTAGCAATGAAGGGCCTTGATATCAAACACACAAGGAGGCTGGTGGTTAGGGATATCTGCTTATTCATCTTGATTGCTTAGGGAGATCTACTTGTTTATGTGGAAGCTTAACTTTATTAAACAAAAACAAGTAAACAACCACTAATTTCCCAAATACTAAAAAGAGACATTTGGTAGAGAATTGCATTAATCTGTAAGGAAAAATATGCTAAATAACCAACAAAACAGCAACATCCAAAAAGTGAAAATCGATATGGGCCTGTGTTTGCATATCATCAGAAGCTTGCGTAACTTTGCGGCTCACTTCGAGGATAATATCAGTAATTTTTTTAAAAATTCTTCTAACTACACAAGAACATGATTTTCTTAACAGATGGTTTTAGTTACAACCTTCAAAAAACACAGATATACTGGCTGTGAAACAAGCTGCTTTTCCTCTGCACAAATTCTCTGAGTTAGGTTAGTTCAGTGAAATCTGGAACAATGTATCATATCCAAGTAGCATAAGTCTGCTGTCAATAATGTCATAAATCCTTTATCATCATAAGGCAGTCCTTTTCAAATTAGATATGCACAAATTTAATAATTGAATTAAATAGCCCCTGTCTACTCAGTTATATACAGATTTAATACCTAATTAAACTTGGTTTTAGAATAAATCAGTTTGACAACAGTTGCAAAGCCATCATCCTCCATTAGAAGAAAATGCAATTTCAGATCCATGTTAATAATGTCATAGATCCTTTATAGCCTTTAAGGTATTGATGGGTCCTTTCAGATATGCACAAATTTATTAATTGGTCTATTCAGATATACACAGATTTAATATCTAATTCAACTTGGTTTTAGAATAACGCAATTTAGCAACATTTGCAAAGCCATCATCTTCCATCAGAAGAAAGTGCACTTTTAGATCCATGTTACAATAGTAGTGCACTTTTAGATCCATGTTACAATAGTTTATACTCAATATTTTGAGATAATTCAGATAAGTAACTGCACAAATTTATCAATAGAAAACTCCTCAATTTACATTAGTTAAAAGACAATACCAGTGCATTTCGAGGTTTCATCTTTTCTTCTTTGCCCTTCAAATGGATAGCAATTTTACGAAGTTCCTCATAAACTGTAAATTGAATTGCACCATGGGTAACCTGGGAAAAGGTTTTCAATTTATAAACTAATCATGAAGATGGTAATAAACCGAAGAATACAAAAAAGGAAACTATGATGATTATTCGAGACATAACAAACACTAAAATAAGCAGCATTGGAATTCTTTTTGCATGAAAGAGGCCTGCTTACATAGATGACTAAAATCAAGACTACCCATGAAAGAACTGACCTTTAACTACGATCATCACGATAGACATGAATCCTCCATGAGTGACTGTCAAATTCCTAGTAAATACACTTTCATTTATAACTATAGCTTTACAAGCAAAGTTAACAAGATTATACTCTCAAGCAGATACAAAAGAAAAGAGAGATAATAAAAAAATAAATGAACAGGGATGTTATTAATCATATGCAGAACTAAAATATCACATTATCTCCATTTTACACGGCTATGTCAGAAAAGGCTTAAGTGTCTAGGGCTTGTTTGAGGAATATATATAGCAATGTTTTAAATATTGGTTATCGGACATTTATCCGACGGTCAAAACCCATATCAGATAGCGGATACGTGGATAAGTAGTATTTATCAGAGTGATATTATTAGATAGTGTATATTCATATTATAATATCCTAAAATGTAATCTAACCATACTTAATGAAATACAAACATACCAAAATGCAAATAATCATGTTTAGGATCACTAACCAATGGCAGAAACTTGCCTCTTGATCGCATGATGAAACCATTTGAATGCATAGTAAAAATGAAATAAGGTACAGGCAAATAACAAGATAACATAAAGAATGAAGGATCATCAACATAATTATTGTGTAATCATGAGATTATAAACTAACTTAACAAAGTTAAGATTTAATAGTTATGAGCCATGTTAATATTCATAAACAAACATAAGCTAATCACCAAACAACCAAGTTTCAAAAGCAACCCTTAAACACAAAGAGCAAACCCAAACCCAAATCAAAGGCCGATAATTCCGATATTTTGAGCCAACAATATCGGCCGATAACTCACTTTATCGCCACATTATCGCCGATAAACATCCAAAAACGATAACCAATTTAAAATCAATTTTATCATAGCGGAAAACCCCAAAACCGATAAATCGCCGATAATATCGGTTTATCAATCGATATTTAAAACATTGATATATAGCAAGAAACATACATCCACACAATATCCATAGAAAGGCAGATAAGATGTGTCAATAACTTCTTTAATCCATAACCATATTAGTGCAATAACATAAGATGATTTACTCAAGCAAAAGACAAATCAAGCTTAAAAATAAAAAATAAAATGAATGCATCAGCTATACGTACAAGCAACAGTCCAGGCCCAACTCCTCTATAAAGTGCTGTCCATCCTTCCTCCTTTAAAATGGTTCTCAAAGCATCTGACCTTAACCATGTGAGCAAGGAGTTAGGCCATTGACTTAACAATTACAACAAAAACACAAAAAAGAGGGGGGGGGGGGGGGGGGGGGCAAGCGCGTGAAGCTAAAACAGTATTCACCAAGAGTGGGGAACAATAGAAGGGGAAATAAAAATATACATGTGTTTGCAAAAAAGAATTACACATAAAAAAAAATTATCCAGGGTTTTTATACAAGAAGCTTCTTTTGAATTGCTAGTTGAAGTACTAACAAGCTAAAGTCAAAAGTAACTACATATGCTCGGATATCCACAAGGAAATTTTGGTTATCAACAAACAAGCAGAAGGGAAATGCAAATAAGATTAATCATGTAAAGAAAAAGTAAAAAAAAAGTAACATTTTCTAGTGCATAGAGTAGTTCATATTGAAAGGCTGACAAAATTAAATCTCACTAAAATTGGAATATGTAAATAAACCGGTCATACCTTGTTCAAGGAATAGGGATATGTAAACCAGTTATGCATTATTCCATAATTCTTAAAAGAAAACTTTTTATCTGCAAGTTAACAATACCATCAGTGCCACATTATCCCTACTGTATAAGTCAGATTAACAAATATTTTACGCTAGTTTCTAGTCCGATTCTATTAAAAGCTATGTGAATTCGTATCATCAGCTTTCCAAGATTTATTTCACAGTTTGGGTTGGAACTATATTGGTATCTACACTCTGCTTCACAAAACTTCTGTACTTATGCAGGACTTCAAAGGCCAAATTTTTTACTGACTCATCCAACTGCCTCCACATGCCCTCATTCCTTCGGTTTCCCCAACATATTTGCTGGTTACACAGTTCTTTCTGTTACTGCACACATTCACCAAGCACTCGTTTTCTTCAGAATAAATAACTTGGCACACAATACCAATACAAATCTAGCATAATTCCTTACACTACTTCCATGTCAAAGCAATACCTATTTGTTCTTGTAGAAACCTGCAGTTGACATATATTGCACTTGGGCCTTTGATCGACTCCTTCAGCAGATTATTCATCAAGTACAAAGTGATTTCGTGAAAAATACAAGCAAAGACACCAACCTTTACAACTAACTCATCCATGTTTTGCTCTCATTATCTTTCCACATAGTGTAATAATGTCACAGATAGCTCTAGCCAAATAGGGAGACAACAATTCATAAACATTAGTTCGTCAGGGCATATGAGGATCAGTGATCATTCTAAGGCAGCCCAACAACTGTGCTAAGAAGAAACATGGTAAAGAATAAGACATTGACACAGACTCGCTTACAGCACCGATGCTATTATCAGAATAAAAGCGTACAAACAGCAAAGATGAGTTGAACTAGTTTCCCAAATGGCTCCATTCACTGTGACGCCGAAGGCATCAGAATTTCAACTTTAACTCATCATCACTAATTAATGACTAATAATATATATAATCCCTTTGAATGGGGCATCAGAATTTCAACTTTAACTCATCATCACTAATTAATGCCTAATAATATATAATTCCTCTCGATTAACATAGAAGAAAATGTAATCAGATACTCTATGTATATTTAGAGCCATGGCTTATTTCAGTGATTGAGGCAAACCATGCAAACAAGAAGCTCCACACATATGGCAAGGCTTTAATTGGTTACGGAGAAACTAATCCTGAACTTCCAGCACAACCTCCCTCTTATCCATCTTTTTATGAGATGCATGGATTATAACCAAGGAGAAGGCAACATATTTATCACGTGAAAATTATACCCTCTGCATTCTTAATTATAAAACTCGAGCATATTCATGATGACAAAATTAGAGCTGTCTCTATAAAGATTTGGAAGTACTTAAAAAATATACACGAAGCTGAAGGAAATTTTAATAAGCTGACTACGTCTCCTCATCCTTTATGGTTAAAAAAATTGACAGGCAAAACATGTACAAGAGGTGATTTACCTAAAATAATGATGCTGAGTTGAATGTGCAGAATATATAATTTTGATAAAGAATAACTGCATCCAAAATCAGTTCGAGGTGGCTCCAGTTCAGCACGAAATCAAGGAGAATTCTCTAATAAGACAGTTTACACCATGCATGATAGGAGACAATGAGTACCCGAGCCACAAAGATTAGATTTTTTATGAAGGAGATCTAGGATTAAGGATAGCCAAAAACCATGGTTAAGGCAGCAAAAAACAAGGATATAATATTTACTATATGGGCTTTTTAGATATCCACCCTCCAAATTATAGGTATTTTTATATTTGTCCTCCAAATTATTTTAATTTTAATTTTTTCCCTTCAATTTGTTTCTTCCCCTCAAATTTAGCCTCCAAAGTAAATGACAGAAAATTTAATTAGAATATTCCCTTAAATAATTAAAAACACCCAATCTACCCCTTAATTAGATAAAAGATTGCTGATAACAATTAATCACACCCCTTATTCTTCCTATAAAGCCAAACTTTTGCCCCCTTCTCTGTCCTACAGCAGAAAAAACATTCTGTGGTGACCACTCAAACTGCTCTATAAAATCGAATTATCATTCTCTGGATTTTAGGCTAGCAAAGAGAGCATAAAGTGAAATATTCAGGGCATGGGTTTTTTGTTCAAGAGTAAATTCTTGTGGAACCATTGCTTGGACTCCTCAATTGAAAAGCAATGGCTAATCTCGACATCATATTGTGGTCTATAGCATTGAAGATACGTCCAATTAAAACAGACTGCTTGATGAGAATCAGATAGATGAATCACTGAACATACATCCTAAGTTGACAAGTGTGAACAAGTATCTCCAAGGACAGGGGATTCTGAGAGGCTGATATTTCTCTCTTCTCAAACCTTTTCAATAGGGATATCACGGTAATTCTATATTAAAAGGTTGTTAAATTTTTAATAAAAATCAGATTGAGGATAATTCTGCAGGAAAGCAACAATTTGAAGGGCAAATCTAAAATTATAATGATTTGGAAGGCAAATCTAAAAATATCCATAATTTAGCGGGTATATATCTAAAAAACCCTTACTATATTTAATAGAAGGGATAATGCTTAGAGGGCTAATTGGAGAAAAATAATCATGCATCATACCATAAAATATGGAATGAAGGCCTTGCTTTTGTTGTTGTTGTTGTTATTAACAAACAACATAATAAACATATAACAAATGCCTCAACATTCTTGATTCTTAAATAGGAAGTCTTCATCCAAATCCAAGAAATTCATCACATTAGTCATGCTTGTGTCTAGTGATGCGTCTCCCGCAACAGCTAGCATTGTTAGTGCCTTAGTGCAAATCAACTCAATTATTCAATTTTAACATATACATTCCCAGTACCCACTTCCAAAAGAACGTTGATTGCATAGTAAGATTAGTAGCTCCTAGTGAAATGTTTCACCAGAGTCCAGAAGCATGGTCCTCTAGTTTCACTTCGTGATTGTTTTTCTTCATGTTAGCATGTATGAGGTGCTCTACACCTTGTATTTGTGAGTAGATATTTCAATTATTGCATCTACTTCAATCAGAGTGGAGATAAAAATTGCCGAATACAAATTTCACATAATGCATTTAAAAAGAAACATGAAAGACCATACCATAAAATCCGGAATAAGGTCGATTCTGATTAAAAGGTGTCTGAAGCTGTAATCTTGTTTTCACAAGCCAAATAGGATTTGTACAGAGACATACCTGGAAGGACAAAAAAAACTACTATCATATTTAGAAATTTTAACACTAGTTACTAGAAGGTTGATGTCAAGGACTCAAGAGGTAGTAAAAGATAAGATGTTGATTTCCAAGAATTAAATAAGATTTCTAGAGTCTATTTATGATAACTATGTCACTTCTCCAAGTCCAAGTCTCCATGTATTACCTTAAATTTGCCAAAGTTGTATGTTAAACTGACTGGGGGAAAAACTCTTGAGGAGGAAGCCATGGAAGAAGAATGACTAAAATTTAGAGAAGCAAAGGGCTAGAGAAGGTTAAGGTTTGGGTTTTCGCAAGATAGATTTTGAAAGGAGATGGTGAGGATTCTAACGGAATGGGGACGAAGAACAGGGTCCATTTCCACCTTTCTTTCCACATTAACACTACAAATGTTTACAAAAGTCATATATTTCGCAAATGCGGATATCCATAGGATTATCTGCTGGTAGCATAGCAGACAAAGATTATCAAAGTGCTAAGGGAGGAAAACGCATTGAAAGAGAAGTCTAAGCACTAACCAGTGTCCCTGCTTCTGCAGCGGAAACAAGATGATACGCAGGGCCTAGCTCCTCATCACGACCTCTCAGATACCTATTTTTTGCTCTACTATAGCTGCAAACAAAGATAAACTGTTAAGTAGAAGAAAAAAGTAACATATTTCATTCTTCGTATATACATAAAGTCGTAAGAAAGAACTAAACGTTATTGATTTATTATAACAGAATAACCGATAAAATGGTACTAAAGGAAAGAAACTTCAAACTTGGTAGAAGTTCCAAAACATATCTCCTAAAACAAGTTTCTAAAACTGATAAATAAGCAACAACGTATAACCTGAATAGATTTTTTTTTTTTGAGAAACGAATGTGTATTTGGAAAATAACTATGCTCTTAAAAGGCAGCGGGTGTCCGCATTACTCAAAAATAAATATAAAAATCTATTATATCCTAAATAGTTCAACAAGCTTAATTATAGGAACCAAAAAAAGGGTCAAAATAGTTACAAGAAGAAGTATAGCCCCCATGAAACAGTTGATCCAAAAACTGCAGGATAGAATCCTGCATAAAGCCCTCTCAGACCCTGAAAAATTGGAAAGGACTGTTATTATAACAAATAGCACAGTATATAAATCACAAAATAAATCAAGATTTAACACTAAACAAAATCATAACACTCGATGAAAAACAATATCAAGTATGTTGATTTCAAAATTATCTAGCTAATATAGGACGCTCAAAATTGGCAAAGCATTGCTATTATAACAAATAGAAAAGTCCATACTACACATCATGCAAACTATAACATAAAAAGGAAGATCTGACACCGGATAAATCCATAGCACACTTTGAAAATCAATATCAAGTATTTTAATTTTTAGATCACCTAAACAATACAGGCTCTAAATTTCTTGCTAAAAAAATTTAATAACCATCACTAGAAAATAAAAACAACTGAAAATTCAACGGTTAGTAGCATTTGTACAACTATAGGACAGTTCAAAGCTGAGATCTTTAGGATCTAAAATACATTAAAAATTTTACTTTTTTTGCGATAAACAAAAAGAATCAACCAACCTCGATTCTGGCTATAGTACAAACAGCGTGAGCCGTGTTCTTGTACAGCGGAAGACCAGAAACCCTTCCATCACTCACTGCAAACAAGCCCGTCCAAAATTAAAATTTGCAGTTTAGACCCCAAAAGAGCTGAGAAAACGCAAAAAAAGGAAAAAAAAATAACAGGTGTACCTTGAAATCTTGTGCGGACAACGTCGAGGGGATGCAGGGCGGCGACGGTAGCGAATCCGGCAATTGATCCGGCGACGGCGTTCTCCCACTTCCAGTTCTGAGCGTTAAACGCCGTCATCAGCGCCAGCGAAAGTGAGAGAAAAGATCGAGGGTTTTATTGTGGGACTAATTTGCGAGAGGAATACAATAGTCTGTGCGTGTTAGCCCCTCTTGTAGCTTGGGAACACGTTACCTTATTCAGTCCCTTCTGATAAGAGAATATAAGAAGAAATTTTCTAAATAAACTCATTCCTAATTTTAATCTCAAAATTCGATCCTATTCAAACTTTATTATAAAAATCGACTCTCTTTCTCGTCGTATTAACATCGTGGTCAGAAAGTGGGTCGGTTTTTTTTAACGCGATTCTAATTAGTCGGGGTTGGCAACCCTGACTATTTTAGACCTCGCCGAAATTTGGCAACCTAATTAGTCGAGGTTGGCAGCTCCGACTAGTTTGGACCTTCGATAAAATAGTGACATGAGGTTGAATTAGGCATTTCGAAATGGTCGAAATTCTCAATCCCGACCAATTTAAATAGGTGCTAAATTAGTCGGGGTTTCGAACCCCGACTAATTAGGTTGCCAAATTGTCGACGATATCTAAAATAGTCGGGGTTGTCAACCCTGACTAATTAGAATAGCATTTAAAAAAAATCGACCCACTTTCTGGTCACGATGCTGATGTGACGAGAAAGTGAGTCGATTTTTATAATTAAGTTTAAAGTGGATCTAATTTAGAGAATAAAATTGAAAATGGGTTCAATTTAAAAATTTCTTCGAGAATAGAAATATGCAAATGCGGCCAAAAGTCTTGAAACGTAACATGTCATTCACGGCTAACATCCAAAATGCTACAATGCTTACTGTTTTCCTTTATAAAATCAATATTTTTTTATATCCACCGTCACATTTGCAGTTGCACGTGTGAGTTCAAAAGACTGCAATTACACTTGCGTTGAAATTTTGTATTGAGATTAGACATCAGTGGTACGTAGTGGTCATTTTTAATAGTATAATTGCAACTTCCACTTATTGATTGCAATGAAACAACCTGCTATATTTGATCGTAATCTTTTCTTCTTTTGTTTTCATCAATTATATATTAATTTCAGCAGGTAAATATCTTGTAGTTAAGATTTCAGCAATTTGATCCAAAAGAAGAAGAAATCCTCATTGTCGTCTCATATATAACCTTAAATTAACCATGCATCCAATTTGTTACGAGACTAACCCTGCTAACCTCGTATCCTATTCTCTTCACGTTCACATGAACTCATCAATTCACACAAACTAACTAGAAAATTGAATTCCCGACAAATTCAAGTGGTTAACCAACCATTTGCATATTTTAGAGCACAAGTATGCGGCCGGTTCTAAGAAATAATCACTTCGTGTCCAAATTTAACAGAGAAAAGGAAACAAAATGTAACTAGTTATCTAGCAACAGACAGCAATTAGATTATCGGTAGCAATGCAACAATACTCTGTGCTAGTAAACAGCTACATAAAATATAAATCTATCAATCCAAATGGGTACCCAATCACTGCCAAAATTTGCAAACAGTTAAGAGTATTTTATTACCATTAAGCCGCGCAAAACAGAATTATAGATTAACGGGCTATCAGCACATAAGAGAACATATATGACATAACAAACTTAGAAATTGACACAGAAGATAACATGTTATTGACGACAAAGCAAGCAAAAGAGTATTTGCACATATTTTAGGCTTTTTCACATAAAGAAGGCCTATGACTGCACCTTACTAGATCTCAAGCTAGCCTCATAGCGAAATACATAAGACAACTGCAGACGGAGATATTCCCAAAACTAACAGTTGCACGCCCAAAGGAAAGCAAAGGGAGAAACAACATTAGGCTTATTTTGACAATAAGAAATCAGCATTCAAGGTCTCCCTTCTAGATGCTAGAAACGTAACGGTATTTACAATATGAGGCAGAGGAGTTCTTCTGGTCAACTCCCATAACAGCTGAAGACAACCAGAATAAGCCTTCCAGCTGCAAAATCATGATCAAATCCCTGAAACAGCACACAACAAATATGATGCCAAAAAATCATTAAAAGTTAAACGCCATAGGAAAAATGCAGCTCCAGGGCCAAAATAAAAATCTCAACAGACCTTCATGTACACAAGGGCGATTAGGTTAGCTTGGAACTCTACATTAGCCATCAGTAGACCTGCAAGGAAAAGGATAGGCAGATAACAATGTATACATCAGCACAACTGAGGCGGGCATCCAGTAAGATGTTTAAAGCACAATTAATTACAGTCAAATTAGCTGTAGTATAAGAGTTCAAATTACCTGTGCTAGATTAAATTTCAAGCTTGTGTATTGTGCTTTTTTCAAAAAAAATTAATTTTTTAATTTTTTGGAATTACAAGCCAAAAATTCAAGATAAGTACAGTTAAACCATCCGCTGTCATACAAGAATTTCACCATGAAACTGGGGCTTCGCTATCGAGAACAACAGGAGGAAGTTCACAACCACATGGCAATATCCAATTACCATATTATTGTCCAAGTACCTAAAGAAAAATAACTAGATGCAGGAAAGAGGCATGCCATGAGGCCTAACGTCAATTGGCAGGTAAGGAGACTTAACATATCTGATGCTGAAAAAGTGAATGCAAAGTAGGAGAAACTTGTTGTACTTTCACTAGACCAGCTAAGACTCTGAAAGAAAACCAAAAACTCCAGCATCATGATTTTACAAAATAAAGAAGCTCGTTATATTCAGGCTCATAAGGTAGACCGTGAGGTTATTAAGAAAGGGAAACAAAAAAGTCAAAAGCCATGGGATAAATGGACACTCCTATGCCCAACATCGCTCCACCCTCCCCCAGTTTTCGCAGGAAAATGGGCAAATA